ATTGTATTTAGTACAAACTTTTCTCACTTTATGAATTCTGTTTTGAATTTGCTTAAGTAAAAACAGTTGTGCTCATCAAGCAAAGTAATGAATTATTCAGAGGCCACTCAAATAATGGAGCTATAACTGGAGATTGACTTTCCTAGCGTAAATGAAACAGTATTTGAGTTTGTCATAAATACGAATTTTGAAAATTAAATTTGAATCTAATTTTAAGTATCCGATAACGAAGCAATCAAATGCAATTCTATTACAACCAGTTTGTCGTTGCATAGAAGAAAAAGAACCATATATTTTGAACAAAGCATTAAAATTAGCTTTTGTTTGTACTGTTGTAGTTATACTGTATGTTTGGATAGTACTATAATCTCTCTTTTCCTCTTTGATAAAATAGTAATCTCAAAGAGTATCAATTATTTTTGTAATTTTTAATATAAATACAATAAAATTCTAGAATTCACTGTAATTGTCGTTTGAAATTTTTAATTTTCAAAGAAAAATTCTGCAAAAATAATTTCAGCAAAGCCAGAAAGCTATAAGATTTTCGAGTTTTATTCTTTGAATAATTAAAATATTCTAAATTTGTTTTAAGAAGGCTTTGCAATGCGTTGTTTATTATTTTTAACGTTATTATTTTTGTCATTATCAGCATTTTTGATGTTCATATAATTATTACTAATATAAAGCTTGACACTGATATTGCTATTATTTATATTATTATTATTATTATTGTTATAATTGTTTATTAATATTATATTCATCATTATTAGATCAAACATTGCTTTTTAATCAGAAACTGTTCAAGTATGCACATTTTTATTCTAACAATAATTATGCAGGCATATTACAACCATGTTACCATTTAAGTTATTTGATAATATTGTAATATTTACAAGAATAAACTCATATTATGCAAATTTTCGTGCTTTATTTTTTATCACAATACAAAATATCATCATACTTTTATTCACGAAGTTAAAATTTCAACAAATATTTTTTGATAGCTTTTATCAAAAAATGTACTAAAAAATTTAAAAATAATATTTTCACATTCATATTTTTATTCATAATTGTGATTTTTCTTGGTTGACTTTATAAAAACAAAAAATACAAATACAAAGTGTGTTTATGAGTAAAAATAAAAATTTACAATTATGGATAGAACTTTTATTATTGAAATTTTTGCAATTCCACTACTTTAACTAGGTTATGCATTGTTTTCTACGGAAGCACTTATTTGATTAACTTTTATCAAAATATTACAATAATTTTTTTGATCCAAAAAGCCATCACCTGTTTTCCGGTATTTTATTTCAGTATTTTGTGAATAGTAGTAGCCAATTTATTAGCGTATTAAAAATTGGTCAGAAACATAAAATTGAGTGGTAGCTATCATTGTTATATACCTTCAAAAAAATCTCCTGCTAAACTTATTAAAATTGATAGCTAAATTATTTCAATAATTTACGGATTTAACATCCGTTAGATCGAACTGCTTGACAACATCGATTAGGAGCTTTAAGCACCGATGCTTTCAGAGGAGAACAAGCTGACTAAAAATTAAATAGCTTGTTAGGGATATCAAATTATAAAACTGACAATAAAATTATTAATTATATTGAATCACAGTTTCAGATTATTGGAAAATGAATATTTGAATAAATCTGAAGTATATAATTTGCACAAAAATATGCAATATGAGAAATAAAATGACAGAACATCATTCAAAATTTGAATGTTTCTAAAATAAATTAATTTCCCGTAAGCTACAAAAAATATTGATGAAAGCATTTGCAAGAAACAAAATAAAATAAATTAATAACTAAATTAATTATACTGAAAATTATTAAATGATTTCAGTACTAAAACAAAATACCCTTAAAGAAAGGTGATTATAAGTTTCTTGCCAGTATAAATACTGCTTCACATATCTTTCACACCAGTATGGATCAGGAAGTTTGCAAGATGGATCTGAAAAATTAAAATTGGTAACAACAGAATTTATTTCAATTCTGGCAGAAAAAATCAAATATCATTTAATTCTAATGTCCAATGTAATCAAAAATAGTCAATAGATTAGAAATTTAAAAAAGATTATACATATTTTTTAAGACTAAATCATACACTTGATTTTTTGATCAATTACGTTTCGAATAATTGTTTTAATTGATAATAATAAATATAATATAAATAATTTTTGGAAAGCAAAGTAGAGATATCTTTATATTGCTCTAATGCTTCTTGATTTTGTTGTAACACAGCAGTATAATTAGTTGATTGTGGATTGATAACAGGATTATACAATCCCGGTAGATTCCGATTACTTGTTTGATTCATTTGCTGACTTGGATTGAGTGGTGTTACTTGTCGACGAATACGATTTACATCTAAAATTTTGTTTAAAATTATTACTGCACATATATGATATTTAATTCTGAAAAATTAAATAAGCAAAGTTTTAATACTTAAATTAAATAAAGACATACAAAAATAAAAAGTATTTTCTAATTAATATAATTAGCTTTCTATTGCAAATAGCTTAAAGCTAAATACCATTTAAAATGTGCGAGAAATTATGTAATGAATCTTTTGCACATAACACAGATACATTACAAATTAGAGCATCGAATATCGGGTCAACAAAACTTTCATTCATCAGAACTGGTTCAGTGTAAAACTGAAATTTATATTTTAAATTTGAGAAAAAAGATTGTTCTTGGCTACGAAAAATGCAAGATTTTTTGACCTGAAACAAATTTTTGAAAATTTTTAAAACGACAGAACTTCATTTTTCTAATTTAAAAAACGCATAATTTTAATTTCTTTGATTATTTCGGTTGTTATTGTACAAAAGTTAATGGTTTAAGTACCGTCCAAATAGCGCAGTTGCTAATATCATAATCAAAAGTAGAATCCGAATGAAGTGGTCGACTAAAATTTGCATTTATAAAGGTTGTATCGTTAGAAATGTAAGTTCGAAGAGTTTGATCGTTTTCTTCACTTATCGAATGAGCTGATAGCATTTTTCTATTCTAAATTTATGCTAATAGTAATTATATAATTAATAATTTGCTTGAAAAGTTGATAATTGGAACATTTTTGTATTCTTTTATATTAATATAACATTATGCGAATTGATAAAAAAATATTTCTGATAAAAGTGAATCTATCATTTTTGAGTTACATGTCAAAGCAAAACACAATTTGCAACTTGTCTGGATAGGATAATTAAATTATTCAAACATATATTTAACCCGAAATTGGTGTGAACAATTTTCAGTATAAAGCTATAATAAACGCAAATTTTTACTGAATGTATTAAGCAAAGATAGTAATTCGAAAAATTGATTAAGAAGTAAATATGTTAGCTTTCCGATGTCTCAAACCAGCTATTTGCAATTTAAGGCATTAAGTAATTTTAATAATCATAATTTAGTATTAGTAAATAGATTTAGTGTTTGTACAAAAGATCTTTTATGATTTAACTACGTTTAATGACTATAATTAACTGAATCAAATACTTTGACTTGAAATTTTTCCAGTGTAACCATGCCAAGAAGTCGTAAAACTGCCACAACTTCACTTTCATCTACCGGAGAATTTACCTCAAACATTGATTAATTTCAGACATCTAATTTCGGTAAGTTGAGCAAAAATAACAAAATTTTCAATTTTTTCAGTTCAAACAAAAATTTTTGAGATCAAAAATATACATAACAAAGTAATTTGCATTTGATTTTGATTATTATTTGATAATAAAAAACTTCAAATGACTAAATCTGCTATGAACCTGAACTTTGCTAAATCCAATACCAATCCAAAAATCTTCCTCACTTGGAATATTAGAAAGATTCAGTTGGAAATAAATTTGTTTACCAATAACATACCATTGGAGTGAATAGTTATCACCAAAACTAATACTGCACTGAGCCAAAAAGTAATCATAAATTTGCTCACTTCCAAACGTTATTACTGAATATTCAAAAATTTAATTAACTATTAAAAAATTTTGATAAAAAATTACTTTTTACTGAAAAAAAAATCTTAGCAAAATTAAAATAAGCCAAATTTATCAAACAAGCAAACAAAACTATTCTTTGGATACTTTCCTTTTTATCTAAAGTAAGTAATCTCTTAATAATGCAAGCTTCCATCTACGCAATTTTGTACAGATTCATTTTGTGAACATTTAAAGCAAAACTTTACCTTATATACAAAGTCTTTTAAAGATATGAAATAAATTGTCTGTAGAATGCCAATTAAAAAATTTGCTTATTAAATAAATTGCCTATTATTATTTGTATTTACAAATAACTGCAAAATTTTTTGTTGGCTAATTAAAACATAAAAAACAGCAAGCATTAAATTTAAAAATTTTTTGTACTAAATCATTCAAGAGATAAAAAAATAATTTCAAACTGCGTTTATAAATTAAAAAATAAAATTGAAAATTTTGAGCTCAAAACTTAATTATTAGTGCAAACTTTTTACTTAAGAGTTAAAATTTAACTTAAAAGTTAGATTTGTGGTTATTTTAAGCAGTAATGCAAATACTTTAAGTAATAAAAAACAATTAGCACCTGAAAATAAGAAAACACAAGTAATAATAATGCGAATCATTTCAGGACTTCGATGGATTAATTAAATCTTTGCGAATAATTCCATGATGCAACCAAATCTAAACAAATTATATAAAAAAGATCTTTAACTTTAGAGCAAATACTGCTAACTGTTTACTTAGAATTCAAATAAAATGTAAGTTTGGATAGAATTTATGTAAAGAAATCTTAAAATGACGTAAAGAACAATAAGTAAGACTCTTATGACGGATGTTAAGATTGACTAAGTAGAAAAGAAGGTTACTGCAACAAACTAGCAGCTCATTTATGCAAATATTTACGTAAGTTCTTTTTGCTTAAGTCTTTTTTACATTGCTATTAAGAATAAAATCAAATTTCTGTACTAATTTAATTTAGATATTAAAAATATTTGAGATGTTTTTAAAGTTAAATATTAAAAATATATGAGATAATTTAATTTAAATATTGAAAATATCTATGCTCATATTTTAGATATTTTCAAAGATGCAACTTTTTTCAAAGAATCAAAAAAATTTTAGAAAAAGAAAAAGCAAATGCAAAAATTTCAAATATTAAGATCATTTTGTGAACAATTATGAGTAGATAAGTTAATATAAAATTTAGTTTAATAATTGAATTTTCACAATTGCAGTTTGTCATTATTTTGTGTATTTAAAACTAAAATAGATAAAAACATCAAAAAATTCTGTGAATTTCCAAAATTTTATAAAAATTATGAATTAAATATTTTTCACTTATCATTTTATGAGTTAATTTGTTTGTAAATATTGGCTATGTTTTTTGCTCAAAGAGTTGAGAAGTGTTTTAAAAATATTCATATAATGCTAGAATTAAGAAAAAACTATGAAAGTTAGACTTTTTGCATAAATTCATAAAAAACAGTAAAAAATTGTAAAAGTAAACTGTGAATAAGTGAAATGATTCAAATTATTACTGTCAATGCTATTATTGCAAAAAGTAAAATAATTAGTTTGCAGATACTTGAAAGTTTACATGTACACTAAAAATGATTGTCAACGAAAAAATAAAAGTTTATATATTTGATTTGTGCCGTCAAATTTTTAATTTCTTTTACGGTAGTCAATAACGAGGGGTCAAAAGTCACGTCCGACATTATTATTATTTAATTATTCTTAATGTCAAAAGTCAAACTATTAAATTCAATGGTCTTTCTTGCATCTGGACATTCAGCTCAATAAAATTAAGACATCAGTTTAATAAAATCAAATCGTAAAGATATTAGTCGCGCATAAATCTTGAGAGCATCCACTTTAAACTACTTTAAATGTAATCACATAAAATTAGTTTCATGACAAAAAATTATTTGATGGATTTTACCAAAAAAAA